GCTATTTAACAGATATATAAGAAGATAGTACTGAACAAACGTTTGTGAGCCGGATGCGGAAACGGAAACGAACCTGAGAGAATGAAACACTGCCAAGAAATCAAAGGAATGATTGATCTTCGGGTCTTGCGGTCTTGCGAGAGCTACAGTCGTCATCCGGGCACTTGATTAGGGCGGCAAGGGTCGCGACGCGGCTGCGGCGTGTCACGAGCGCGGCGATCAGCTGTTTCCAGCCTATTTTAGCCATTTTCTCCCTAATTTACACTGTTTTGGCTGCTTTTCTCACGATTAGTTGTTCCTTGTCTTCACAAGGTAAATTATGATTGAGATTCCTCTGATTTTTGCGTACAATTAAACAGTTGAGCAGACAATTGAACAAATACCTGAAAAAATCGCAAAAACACTCTATTGCAAAAACAGAAAAAAACACTCCACGTCCTGATGATGTACGTCATAGAAGAAATAAAACAAGTAACCTTGAAAAAAAGAAAATACAGTGAAAATTAGGGAGAAAATGGCTGCCAAAGATAGGCTGGAAACAGCTGATCGCCGCGGTCGTGACGCGCCGCAGCCGCGTCGCGACCCTTGCCGCCCTAATCAAGTGCCCGGATGACGACTGTACGTAGTGGCAACTTTTTTCCAATTCGCTATCGAAGAAATCACGTAATAGAGAAGGATCTGGGACATATTATGCAGCACGCTTTTTGGCTCTCTCGGTGTAACTCACACTTTCTCTCACACTTAACTCGAAGAAGCGCGCTGATACGAAGGGAGAAGGCGACGTACGGTTAATGCTACTTACCCCAGTCTACGTCCGACAAAATATTACCTACAGCCCACTTTTGTGAAAGACTTCTATTCAGCGAGCATAGCCTATGAGCTGGATGCCACGGCGCAGGAGAGGTGGTCCTATTATGGAAGGACTAGGACAGAGGTTTCAAGAAGAGAAGAAGAGTTCCTATACTAACTGTGCACAAATATGAACCTCACAAAACCTACGCAACGTGAGACCAACAGAACTCTCCGAGCATATTGTGAACAGTGGACATTCATTTACAAAACTACAGGGGGGCCAAAAAAAAGTCATTTTGCCTCCATGACTTTCAAGGCGCTATAAGTTACACTTTATTAAATTTTTATCGGACATTTTTACTACCATATTAAAGAGCACATTAAATACTATAATGATACTCCGCCACAGCCTTCTGGAGGAGCGCCATCGAGAGATTCGGCCGCGCAACCGCGGATGTGGTCTCAGTTGATACTCGGCTAGGGCCTGGCGCGCGGGGGGGTGTGCGGGCGTGCGCAGTGGCAGGCGACGGCATCGATGAATTCCTCCCGCCTACCGGTAAGCACCACCCTCGTTGACTCTCCCGATATAGCGCTAACTTGGCACGTGAATTCAGCCGTCAAGGGCGACATACTATAATATTCACACCTCGATCTCGAGGTACCGGCCAAACGCCCTTCTCATTCGGAAGGTAGCACGGGGCGAGTGGGGCCAAGGGGCTTTTCAAAACCCCCTGTCTACAGGTTCCATAGCTCCGAGTGCGCAAGCGCCCAAAGTCTGGCGGAGGCGGAATGCTAGGCCGAGCACGCAAGGTCTCAATGAAGTAGCGGGCCCTGGACCACGAATTGTAGGCGCCAGGATAAATCTTTCGTCCAGGGGGTACTTTGATGCTAACCCCGCCAGCGCTCACCTTCTAGTCCGGCGGGCCTACAACAGAACCAATTATCGGCTGCTATACCGCTTGCCCACGCGGTGACCTCTGGGTCGATTAGCCATGTCCCAATCGGCGCGCTCGGCGAAGACCGCGGGAAAGAGTGATGTCCTGAGACCGTAGATGACCGATCCGTTGCCGTAGATGGTCGATGGTGGGAGGTCCTTGGCACGTCGGAAAGAGTACTGCTAGCCTGTCACAGTTTAGCCCCCATCTGGAGTCGCAGTGACTTCATCGAAGAGAGTTCGCCAACCTGTTGTGTGGAGGCGACCGTGAATTCCAGAAATTTCGGTGAAGAGGTGGCTTCTCCAGTTCAGGGCGCGCGCACTGCGAGATGGACCTTAACTATTTGGTCCGCGTACCTATGAAGCGCGGATTGGCGCCCGCTGCTCCATTGCTTATAGCGAGGCAAGATCTTGCCAGTATCTCTCCACTCTGTACTCATATTCCATCACCCTGTCTGGCGGCTCAGCGGAGAGAACTTCGTTCGGTCCACACGCTCGGGGCCAGCCGTACCGACGATGTTTCGATTGGCTCGGCCGACAATGACTTTTTTTTGGCCCCCCAACCTGTATGGTCAATAAGCTAGCTTCTATTCCATGGGGCTTGGACGGGGTTTTACGGGAGGGGATGCTGAGGAACGAAAGCCTTCCTGAGCGCAATGGTGCCCCCTGATCTCGACAGAATGGGCTGCGAAGAGAAAAAATGCAGCTCAGAAACAGGATTTGATTCAGAAGACCAATTAATGACAAAAGGCTCCTCTTACCAGTACTGTGTCAAACCTCTTATAAACCAAGTGGCTAGCACAACGAAAACGAACCTGGATGGAAAATTTCAATCGAAATGATTTAGTTCTGTCTTCTTTCTGATTCAATTCTTTGATCACGGGACGTATTTTTATAGACTTTACGAAAATTGAAGTTCATTGAGGTAACCGTGCATATCATTGGCGTGTGATGCAAAATGTCCCCAACCAATAATACTTTATTTCATTCAACAGTCAACATTAACATTTAAAGGCACATCATGGAAACACGCAGAGTTATGCCTGGAACAATAGAACATGGCGAGAAACCGAGTGAAATCTTGATCGATCTAGTCATCAAAATTTTAGAGATTGCTATACAAACAACAAAAATACAACCAGCAGAATACCTTGCAACACTTCAAGACTCCCACTGCATGACTAACTATGCAAAACTTCAAAAGAAAACATGACTAGACCTGTGTGAACCTGCCAGCAGTAAGACGGTTCAATCGATGGGCCTCTTTCCTTGCTATGTCTTGTTATACATCTTTTGATCGGATACTTATTTTTTCATTTTTGTTTCCTCCAGTTTACTAATCGGTGAATGGATATTTTGAGTGCTGGATGCACTGATCATTTCATTTGAGCCTGCGTCAGATTCATTTTCTACGCCAGCAATAAATGTGGTTTCCTCCCAAACAGCGACCGCTCCCTCCTCGCACTGCCGCAGTGCAGCTATCATATCTTGAAATGATTCCCTTCATTGATTCAGTGACTACGTAATAATGGTCGAGTGGTCAATGATATCATATGCAGAGACAATCACTAGGCGTCCTTCACTATTTAAGAGCAGTGACGGGTAGGGTCGGTCATTCAGTCAACACTTCGAGGCGCGGCTCTCGCAAGGAAGGCATCGGAGGCAGATTGATGAGTAGAAGCAGTACATCAGAAGTGTCGGGGTCCAGATATCGACCCGAGACACACCAGTGGAGGAAATTCCCAGGATGTGATTAGAGGCAGCTAACAGCGGTATTTCTCGAAATATCCGAAGGAAGGAATATAAACAATCACAAATTTTTGCGAAAACTTTTGAATTCTTCGGGCTCTTTTAGTTTTTTGCAATAAAATTTTGGCGCCTCTTTTATATGTATCACATTCAGTTTGTAGCGTAGTTGAATCTTTTCTGATTTCTTTTAGTATCGAATAATACTGTAATTATGATGATTAGTTTTCCGTTTTTCAATATTGCTTCTGTTTCTACCGATAATAAATATCAAATCAATATCATTTAGTAGCAGTTGCACTTGGAACAAGAAGTGTTGCCCACGTAGCACAGCGTTAGCAAAGAGGCGATATTCAGTATTGATTAAGTGATGTGGTTGTCAGACAGACCAGATTGTTTCCTTGTACCCTGTCAGTTGAAGCCAGTTGGAACACCAATCAGAAGTGACGTTGCGGCGCATGCGTGGCTTTTGCTGCAGTGGGTGCGTAGCAACGGAATCGTGCGGTGCAGCGCTAATGGGCGTGGCCTGCGACATCGTTGCGACAAGAAGACGAATCATGAGCTTGGCCGTTCGAATAGGGATGCTAAATCACCCGATGGAGACCTGTGTACAATTACGGTTTAGTTTTAGGTCTTCTTTTATTTGTTTTTCTGTAGAGAATGGAATATTCACCGGTAAAATAGTTCAAAATGAAAAAGAAAATCCTAGCCAGTCCTCGTATTTGCTAGAAATAGATCTGTAATATGCAGAAGATTTGTATAGTAGCAAGAGCTGAAGCGATAGCCATGTATATGCACTATCGTGCGCTGTAATAAACCAACTGCTACAATGATAAAACTATATAGCAGATGCACGTCCAAGAGCCAGTGCGACGTTCGCTGCGCGACGCGCTGCGTGCGGCGGGTGCTAAGCCGGACGATTTTGTTGCACGTCTCCCTGCTGCAGTACCCCTGGAAGCGTCGCGCACGTTGTGACATATTATTTCTCAGCTGGTGGTCATGACACAATACACGTGCTACGTTATAGTTGGGCGTTGGCGAGGCCAGCCACTTACAGCACCTCTATCCACGCTCCCTAAACTACGCTTCCAGAACCCAGCTGACGTGATGCCAAAGAGCCGCAGCAAGCCGAATAGTCAGCTAACTAGCAGACACCGCCTGCGCTTCTCCTCAACTCAGATTTCTAGCCCTCACACAGCAAATTCAAATTACTTCGATTGGCGCTACTTTGTACTGCCGGTACTACGAATTAGCGGAGCGTCGAACACTATGTTGTGCCCTACAGGTGTGTACTGACACTGGATTAGTTAATTTTATTCTCTATACAATTCGAATATAATTTCGCCGGGGACCTGAAGGCAGAAACTTTGACAACTGGAAGAACAAGATCACTGAGATATTTACGATGCCTAAATTCTCAGCCTTGCGGCTGCTCATAAATCATACTAAACGACACTACAGCGTATACAGCATATAGCGCAGAGATGCTAATAACAAGCTAGTTATGATAGTAAGAGCTTGCCAGCACCACACAGCTTTCCCGCGTATCGTTAGACTTGGCTTATAGCGTATTCTTCTTCCATTTAATGGTTGAATCGGTCGAGAGTTGTGCTTGTGGCGACTGCCGTCTGGTCCAACAATTCTGCGAAGTTGCTCCAGCTAAATAATAATACATAAAAAATCAACTTGATCATAACTTGTTAGAAAAAAATAAAGTGGCAGGATATGAAGCCAAGCTCAGCAACTAGATGTGCACCTGCATGTGTTCTATCAAATATTTCCATATTTGAATAATGAACAGGCCAAGTCCGAGGTACCGTAGGGTACCTTCTAGAACAGCAAGTTCCCACTAGAAAAGTTTTCTCAGAAGAGTCAATCCCACGGCCACTAAGATAATCAGAGGCTTGTGATGAGCTCTAACAAGGACTTCAACATGGTCATGTCGATCGCTTGTGTCTCAGAATGCTCGCTTGATCTGAACAGCCTTTGTAGTCAGTAGCTGCGCTGATAGTGTGAGCAAACACTTCTCTCCTGATTTCCCCAATAGTGCGTGCCTGTATGCCAGGACGCCCTTTTTCCCTCCAATGATTCCATCCTGAGTCCGCAACCGTGGAAAGACTGATCTGGCTGCCCTCCAAACATCCCTCCGCCAGACGCCCCATTGTTGGCAGGGATCATGACAATTAGGCAACGTACGCCTACGCCTACTAGAATCCTGACCAAGCACTCTGTGCATCCCCTTCCTCTCTCGAAGAATAAGGATGCTTTTGGATGCTCGTACAGAAATACGAGTTCTGTTACGAAAAATTCGAAGCTAGGGGTAGTGCAGATCGCATTTTAAGAGTGTAGTGAAGAGCGAGGATGGTAATATGGTTAGCTTGAAATTCCCGATGGGATTGTACAGCAGTACTGCATATGCTTTTCATTTTTCTCTTCACATAGGTAATGCTTGGGACTAGTCGGTCATAATATTTTTGCAAAAGAAACTTCAATGCCAAAGATGAATGCTGCAGCACGAATTGACCTGCATTCAAAGGAGCACAGCCGCAGCTCGTGCATTTTTGCAGAAGTACTGTACTTCGCTGCTCTATCTTTTAGTCGAGGACGGACGCGGTCCCTGTTTCGCTTTCGATTTTCCTAGGCCGAAGCCCGGGAATAACGGCGAGCAGAACTTTCCGGACAACCTAATACCTCCCAGCGGCGCAACATGGACACAGTAACGCTACATACACAATTCAATAATTCATGAGAATTCGTGACTCAAGTAATAATAACTTCATACTCTGAGAATCCTCATTCACCTGCGCTTGCGTCAATGAATTTGGTTCACCAAAAACGGTCCAAATGACGGCTTCATCACAGTTCGGAGTGGGAACGCTTCCTTCGTACCGGTAGAACGCGTCAGTGTTCGCAGGAAGAAGAGGACGGGCACGGAATCCTGACATGAGGGTGTAATTCCCTGAAAGTATTCTTCTTTCCTTCGTTTTTCTTTTTTGTATTTATTCTTTTGTTCTCAAGAAAAGGATCATCAAGAGCATTTGATTATACTGCGCTCGGACAAATCTCACTGCCAGCTGATTTACTGCCCCAGTTGATAGAAAAACTAGTTCATGCCCACTCTGATTGCCTGCTCTGCCTCGACGTGCGGGGTGGGTTTAGCTAAAGCCGGTGAGGGAAACACCATTTGGCCAATGTCCCCGGCCCCTCCCATCCCCTCCCTTGCGCCTATCAACTATATACCTTTGTGGCGACAAGTTGCTCAGGAAAAAAGAGAACTACTAAATTGCAAAAGTTCAATTTAGTGGGCTGCACACGTGGATGAATGAAGTGTGGAAGAGTGATAAAACAGCTGAGGCGGCAAAAAGGCCACACGACCTTCTCAGATCAATTACACCATCGCCAAAACTGTTTTCTGTCCCTGAATTCGACTCGCTTAGAGGGCCAAGCAGGCCCTAAACGGAAAAAGTCGTCTGATGAGCTCCTGTTCTAATGCTCAAGTCCGCATGACACTACAGAAAAAATCCTCACCTGCGGAAACGATTTTATCCAGTGAAGGCGATATAGAGGATAAGGCTCTGCCGTCAAGACTAACAGCGAAGAAAACGGCAACGACAGCCGTGCCATCTCTTTCCTTAACGGCTTCCTGCAGGGTCATCCCTTCACGAAGATGTACCAGATGTACCTGAAAAAAGCACAAAATAGTGGACAGTCATCCATCAGTTGAAAGGTAAGAAAACAGCAGTCCCAATGCAACAAGAAGGAGCGAGTTTTGCATCGCGTTTTTTTATAAGTATTTCTTGTTTGATGTCGAAATTGCACGTGGGGAGGTGGGGGAGGGGGTAGTAATGATTTTCGCTGCTCTCTTCATCCTGCTCTATCCACAAAGTGCAGCATTTGCTTCGAGGTCTTGCAAGTTCTCGCAGCAAAATCTGCATTAGCCGTAGCAGAAGTGAGAGAGTCTAGCACTGGCTATGTTGTAGCGCGGGGAGTATGACCAGGCACCTGGAGCTTCAGTGCCCTTCAAGGGCCATGTGCTATGCTTACCCTCAAGGGGAGATAAGGGATGAAGGAGGAAGCGGCGTGCGCGAGCGCGCGAGCGGAGAGCGGATGTGTACCTATACAATGACTTGCGGTGGCCAGCCGATGTACAAGTCAGTGTTTTATCCTCCCAGACGAATCTGGTACCAATTTACCGTCCCCGGAGGGTAGAAGGCTTGGTTGGCCTGGGCGGGTGTCGACCTGGGATTCGAACCCAGGACCGCGCGAGTGGTAAGCGCGCCACTTGTCACTACACCACCTCCGCCTGAGGAGAGATAACCTCTTGTAAATCTCCCTCGTCTCTCTGGCTCTCACCGCTCTCCATCCATACTCTTTTGGCGCCTCTGTGCGACTATAGTGCAGCGCGGAGTTTAATCGATATGCTTCCCTGTCCCCCAGCGAATGTCGTTGGGGAAAATTCCGCGAGAGTGGAGGAGATATAGAAGCAGAGGCAGAAGCAGAGGGACGAGGGGCACTGTTAGAGATAACAGCAGAGGGGGATATTTACTGGGGGGAGGGGGAAATTTCCCCATTGAGGTTAGTATAGCATACAGCCCAGACCCACGCCTGTGCCCGTTCGAGCGCTGGAAGTGGAACGCTACTGCAGCTGCAGACCCATTCACCCCACACATGGCAAGGACCAGGGCCAAAGGAGGTAAGTTCGAAGTTTTTCTTGAACAGAACGAAGTGATAAAATGAACAGCTTTCCTCACGTCAAGAAAACGTAACATCAGTAAACCTCTAGCAAAACATGTGTCGAGCTATTATCTATCCAGTGGTTAAACCGTGCACCTGTGTTACATCAGCGCCGTATTATTTTTTATTCATTAGGAGAGTAGTATCATTTTGGGGACAGAGGCTTTCACGTTCACGTACCTCTGAAGGATAGTACAGTCCTCCGATTTTGTGTTCCGATCCTTCATGATCCTTCTGAGCCCAAGTGGAAATGCATTTGATGAAGAACGTAGCGATGTTTCAAACCACCACCTTTTATATACGGCTGCTGCTCACCCCAATTTTTGAAGCCGTCGATAACAACTGAAACTATTAAGTAAAGTGACGACAAATAAGGAAAAGGAAAATAAGTGTATGACAAAGCCAGCCGAAGTACAAGTAGATTTGGTAGTTCTCCTCGACGGGGGTGGCACCCCAAACCACCCAACAGTGGGGAACTTGGCTTTCTCAATGAAACATCCCGTCAACCTC